AAGCGTCGCGCGTCATGCGGCAGCGCCCCTCGGTCGGTTGGTCGGGAGGAGGGCTGCGTTTCTGCCTGGGTTCCGCGCGTAACAGGCTTCGGCTTGGTGTCGCATGGGCCACTTGATGGTGCAGTCATTGCATATCAAGGTCCAGACAATAAAAGACACTGCACTAGGCAGTCACAAACGCAAAACACCACACTACGCAGTCCACCAGCGCACCATACAACTACAAGCCAGAGTAACAACGTAAAGAACTAAGTGAATGAAAAAATACTGAACAAACCAAGAACAACCGAAACCCAAACTCTCGCGTCATAATTTCTCCCTTGCCTACTGCATTTCAAGCCAGCCCGACACCTGAAGTCACCTGCAATCTACAAATTTTCTTGAAGCGGACCCTGGACAGACTGAGCAGGGACCTTTTGGGGACTTTAAGGCGACTAACACCTTAATACGGAGCTTTGTGGAGTAAAGTCCCACGGCCACTGAAAGAGACTAGGCTAGCAAGGATCAATAACCGTCAAGCACAAAACCCCGCCCACGCTAAATCCGGTCGCGAACAAGTAGTACCGCAGAGCCGATCCTACGAGTATCGAACGAAAGTGCTACCGTACGGAAGTGCCACCACCCAAACGTAAGTCAGTGCCACTAACCGCAGAAACACACCATGGAAGCCCACGGAGACGGTCAACCCGACGAATTTTACCCTGAGGGACACCATACCAATCCAGGGGTCACCACCGGCTGGATTTACAAACTCCGGCGGGACGAGCTGGAAGCCCTTGCAGAGGAATTCGGATTTGGCAACGAAGGAACAGTCGAGGAACGACGAAAGAGATTCGCCGCATTAGTCGCCGGGACACTCTCGCAGGACGCCTGGGTTCGACTAGGAGACCTCGAACGGCAATACGCCAAACCAGCAGGACGCTCCAGATCACCCATGCCCACCACTCCTGGCACATCTGACCAGCGGAAAACCTACCCAAAAGCCGGGTTACAAGTCCCCACCGCGGCCGAATACAGCACACCTGGCCCACCACGCATCGTAACGCCAGCTGATTTGCCCAGACCTCCAGTTACGGAGACCAGCCGCTCGCCCACACAGAGGATCGTGCCAGTCATGGACCCTCCCATAGATGGACGACACAACAGCCACGCCTCCCACATCGCGGAACAGATTCGGAAATGGGGAATCAGGTTCGACGGACAGGACGACCCACTTGCATTTCTGGAACTACTCGAAGAACGTGCGCTCTCATATGGTGTGGACACAAATCAGCTACTTCGGGCCATAACAGAGCTTCTCACCGATCGGGCCAGTCGCTGGTACCGCACCAGCCAACTACAAGGCAGCTCATGGGCATATTTCCGCCAAGAATTCTTGACTCTCTTCTTGCCGCCACGGTATTTTGAACAATTGGAAGACCGAATCCGGGCCCGCAAGCAAGCGGTAGGAGAATTGTTCAAGGATTACCTCATCGAGATATAGACGTATCTCATGCACCACGCCAGGTACGACGCAGCCAAGGAACTGAACAGGATCTACGACAACGCCCTGCCAGCATACCAGATGTACGTGCGGCGACACGAACTACAAAGCTTAGCACAGCTCTCAATGTTGGCCACCGAGTTCGAGAGCATCCAAGAGCGGACCATCCCGACCACTTTCGCAACCCGCGGAACACTCCAAGATACGCAAGGCCGGCTTCAGAGCAGAGGAATTGCGACTCGCACCAGACGCCATTTCTGAGTCCCCATTGGGAATCGACAGAAACACCAGGGAGACCACCAGCTCATCCAAACAGTACGGCGAATCCCGACGTAGCCCATCACATGATCACGACCCCCATCACCAACCCACGCGCAGCCTGTCGCCGGTGCGGTGAAGCGGGGCATGCGGCATATGACTGCCATAATCCCTCCATCCTATTCTGCTGGGAATGTGGCAAACGCGGCACACGGACCGTAAATTGCTGCCGCCAGAACATGTCGGGAAACGACATGCGTCCCCAACTGACACCGGATCAGTCGGAAACGACGACTCCTCCAACCCGCGACTAAATAACTCTCTACACGTAAGCAACGGCTGGATAGTGGCGATGGTGACCATAGGAGGACATGCAACGGAAGCCACAATCGACACCAGGGCATCCAGAAGCTTCATCAGCGCAAACCTCGCCCGAAAACTAGAAAACAACACCAACCTGCAAGATGCATGCGTCCGCATACGCCTGGCCGATGGCTCGGTCAGAGGGATCTCACAAGTTCTACGGGCGCACATCAAGCTGGATCAACGAGGGGTTCAAATCCCATTCCTGGTGCTGCCAAACATGTTGGGACAAGTCATTGTCGGCATTGACTTCCTAGGTGCCACCGAAACGACGATCCAATTCCGCTCCACGCTGCTACAGCTACGAGACCGTCACCCCATGCCCACTGAACCCGTGCTTACAACCATACACGTACAAGACGCCGAACCTCGATACCAGAAACTTCAACAAATCGCAACGAACCCACGTCCACGACCTACCACAACGCTCACGGCACCCAATAACGCAACGCAGCACTTGACACCCAAACCAATCGCAACGAATACGAAGCAACGGCACATTACGGAGAACACGAATCCAAGGTCAACACCAGCAAACCGCAATCAAGCAATCGGGAAAACGAGTCCCACGGTCACTACGGAGCAACCGCGTCCTAGGCCCACAACAGGGAACACGCATCCCAAACAAACCACGAGGATCTCACACACGAGACAAACACACTTGAACCCGGCGCTCGCAACAGGAAGCCCAGGTCCAAGACAAGCAACAGAGCAAGCACGCACAGAATCCGCAACGGAAGAAATGAACACACGGACACCCTTAAAGCCGACCACCAGCATCGAACAAGGACAACGGCAGCCACCATCCGAAAGCCCAGCAACACGGGAAATAGCCACGCTAACCCCACGCTGGTCGGGGCCCATAATTGAACTGATATCCACAGAGCCCCTCAACGCGGGCCCGGAAACCAGGGCCCGACCGCCGCCCTGACGTACCCACGGCCGACACCACCCCGATCCTCGCCAACACACTGAAAGATACTCCCGCGTACCGATATGATTCTTAGCGCCATGCACCCAGCCATGCCTAGAGCCATTTCCGAGATCTTCGTCGCCCAAACAAGTCGTTGCTGCGATACCAGAGGCGTCATCGCGACTCACCTGTTCACGTACCAGTCTGGTTGTAGTATAAAACGAGTACTACACCCGGCATATCAAAATATCGTACCCATCAAACTGATATCCACAGAGCCCCTCAACGCGGGCCCGGAAACCAGGACGATAACCCCACCATATATTGACCGCCGCCATTTCGGACCCACGGCCGACGCTACACAGATCCTCGCAAAGACATTGGAGTACCTTCCGCGTACCGACATAACTTCTAGCCCTATGCACCGAGCCATGCCTAGTGCCATGTCCGAAATCTTCGTCGCCCAAACAAGCCATTGGTCCAACAAAAGATACATCGTCGAGACCAGCCAGTTCATGCACCAGTCTGGAGACAATACCACCCAAGTGTTCCACCAGAGCTACAAAACTAGTCTACCCACGGCCAACGCCACCCCGATCGTCGAATAAAACCTTTGACCCCGGAGCCACCGAAGACGATCCAGAGCTGCCAACGGATCCTCGGCCACCCGACATAGCACCGCCGATTCAAGAATGCCTGGACAAAGAACCACCAAAGAAAACCGCCGAGAAAACCATCGTCATATGGGATAATCGACCCACCAAGCAGACACCAACTACAAAGCACCCAGAACAGCAGAAAGGCCACGATCACAGCAGCAGTAGAAAATATAACGTTACCGACGCCACGCTAAAGTGACTAGATTAACACAGACGAATCCAAAGACTCGGCACAAGCCAAAGGACAGGAGAACCCGGAAAAAGGCGAACCTCAGCACCCGCCAAGCGATGCTACTAACCTCTCCATCACCCACCCGGAAGAAAGGTGGGTGGGGGGGGGGGCATGGTTAGGCATGGCTCGTCACAAACGGCGAAGTGTCAGCGCATCCACGCTGGTCGGCAACAATAATCAAACTGATACAGACACACAGAGCCAACGAACCACGGTTCTCCACAAATAGCGGTGCGTCAGCACATCCGGAAAATAAAATAGTCTTAAGCAACGCACGCAATTACTAAAATTAAGAATTCTCGATCAACAACTCTACCCATTCTGCATTATTTCGCAATCAGCGAAAACAGCACGAAATTCTCGGTCACCCACTTCTCATCGACCTACCACTCAGCTATCCCCTTCTGCGGTGCAGAGTTGGCAAAACCTCATTTCTAAACCCAAGCCCCAGCTGCAGCCCACACCTACCCAAATCCACTGACCCACTAACAATTGTCAACAAAGCACCAAGCTTCGACCCACTTACCACGCCCCACAATTATTGTTACCGAATAATCATAAGTTAGCAATAAGCAATTATTTCCGGGTCTCAGGTGCGATCGTCAGCTGCATAATAGGGCCAAGATCGGCCGAAAGATGAGGCAGTCCATCAGCCCGAACACAAGACACAGGCAGTCCATCAGCCCAAACACAAGACACTGCTCTAGGCAGTCCATCAGCCCGAACACAAAAGAAGCCAATAACACAAGACACTGCACTAGGCAATCACAAACGCAAAACACCACACTACGCAGTCCACCAGCGCACCATACAACTACAAGCCAGAGTAACAACGTAAAGAACTAAGTGAATGAAAAAATACTGAATAAACCAAGAACCAAAGTGCTGATGGATATTTTACTATATATGTACATGTGCTCTATGAAACTCGTATTCAAAAATATTTTCTCCTCCCTTTGAGACATCAGACTTTGGATTATCTTTTTTTTTTACTTTCTATATATAATACCCAAATATATATTTAGAATTAAAACAACTATACGTAACTGAAATTAATAAAAAATTATTGTATTTCAATATTTTTCATTATAGAAGAAATATTTACGATTCCGGAAGCCATTTGGTCGTCCGCTGATGGAACCCATTTCGTGTTTGCTTTATTTAATGACACACAAGTTGGAATGATGACGTATCCCTGGCTATCATCTGGAGCCTTGTTTGCTGGATCCGGTTTTTCTTCAGGAAGCTATTTTCCAGAAACCAAAAATGTTAGGTATCCAACGCCAGGCACTGTCAATCCAGAAGTGCAGTTATGGGTGGTGGACATTACCAATTTTGATTCCATAGAACAAGTTGAATTGAGTCCACCACAATCTCTTAATGGACAGTAAGCTTGCAAATTAAGTAATCTTTATTTTATCATTGACAAATATCACTATTTTTTCTAATAAAAGGGACTATTACCTAACATCAGCAGGTTGGGTATCTGATAGCAACCGCCAGGTGTCTGTGGTCTACATGGGACGGTCTCAAAATTATAGTGTGATTACAACATGTTCTAAACTACAAAATTGGAATTGTTTAGAAGTAAGTAACCTATTTATAAATTAAGATCTTAAAAAACATGTAATGTATAACGCAAATATTAAGATTCACTCTGAACGTGCTCCCGAAGATGAATGGTTAGATATATTTCCTCACCCGATTTTTTCGTCGGATGGCAACAGCTTTTTATTACTCGCGAGTATACAAGAGTCTGGGCATGATCATTTTACGCATATAAAACATATAACAATATCGCAACAAAGAATTTCTGTTATCTCTCATGGTCGATATGAGGTATAGTATATAGGCCATGTACACACAAAAGTTTCCTAATTTATTTATACATTTTATTTCAGGTAATAAAAATACTGTGTTGGGATACAATAAATCATATAGTATACTATTTGGCTACTCAAGATAAGAAACCGGGTCAAAGACATTTATATACTGTTAAAGATCCAATACATGATGATACAAGAAAGTATGAAAGCTGTTTATCAAAACGTTATTTTACTTTTACAACATTTTTCATCAACAGAACCGAGCCACAATGTATTACTTGTGATTTAGGCGAGGCCCTCTGGAGTAGTCGGTATTACTATATAAACTGTTCACATTTTGACGCCTTTATTACGCCGTCACTAGGCGTGGCAACAAGCTATGGAATTGAGTTCTACATTTTGGAATGCCAAGGTCCTGGACTACCAGTATCAGGAGTTCACATGCACAAAACTCACAGTTTAGTCAAAATTTTATATGACACGCGGCCTTTTTACACAGAGAAACTTCAAAAACTCGCATTACCAATCCAACGATCTTTTGAAATCCCCTTGCCACATGGAAGCCGAGCTCAGGTTCAATTACTGCTACCACCCAGCTGGAGAGAAGAGCTACGGGACGCTGCATTTCCTGTTGTTGTCGAAGTGTAGGCAATTTGAAAATTTTATTTAAGGAATCGAATATATTTAAATCTCATATATGTAGAGATTTTAAGCCTGTATCGGTATAGATGTCAATCGGCGTTACAGCATCTCCAGAAATTTTATTTTCAAACTCCTGGTTCCAAATGATGAATGGCAGTTAGCAGGCCTTAAATATATATTTATTTTTGTATAGAGGGATGGTGTTTTATCTACGGCTATTTTCCAGGAGTAAGGAGCTCCTTTCCGGTACATATTTGTTTTAATATTTTAGATTGAAATGTTTTGGTCCCATGAGTAGGCGGGAAGGGTCCGAGATCACAGGGCGCTTACCATCCGCGATTACGCTTTGCTTGGCAGCCACCCCGATAACCGATTTGCCCCCGTTGCCCCTCGACGTGGATGGGCCGGATTGGCTTATCGGAGCCCTACTCGCATCGGTTATTGCTTGAAGACAGTGGACCGACTTAGTCTTCTTCCCCGTCTTCACAGGCCCTAATTTCCCAGGCGTTGATGTAGAAGGATTCGCTTTCCCCTCCGGTACTTTAGAAGGAGCACCGAGCTCCTTTCCGGTTGTTGTTTTTGAATTTTGAGTATTTGACAAATTTGGTCCGAGGCACGCTGGCCCGGAAAGCCTAAGTTAAACTGGTGTTCGGCAGGTATCCAGAGTTCGCATACTAGCAACCGACCACCCCCTCGGCCATGCATCCCAGAGTTTTCTTCGCTCGGCCCGACTCCAATTAGCCAGCATCCATGGTAGAGACTTTACCATATCAAGACCTGTTCCAGCCGCACTAACGTGGATAGTATAGTCGCACTTCCACCGGGATGTACATTTACGATGGTGACGGCTGCGTCCGTTCAGACCAAGCCCTATCCTGAATCATCCTTACTCTAGCCCGAGTGTACAGTTATGGCGAGACAGCCCGTCATCCGTTTGTCCCCCTGTATCATCCGATGGCAGACGGCCAATAAAATAGGTTAGAAACTTAAAAAGTACACAAATAAGCATCTACAATATACATATTGTTACGGGTTTACTATACGTATTTTCGAATTGAGGATTAATAGCAGAGAGTTACTTTTATTGGGGATTAAATTTTAGATATGAATTTTCTTGCTGTTCTAAATCACAGCACATCTATGAGGAACGGTGGGAATTTTTGACAGATGTGAAACTCCGATTCCCACAGGAGGATTCCATCCTCCATCCATGAAAAATAGATGATGTACACAATTTGGTGCGGCGGAAAATTGTTTTCTTTTATAATTTTAATGGATTCAGCTCCAAAATATATTCTTCCACAATCTTATCATGTTGCTGGACATGGATGATGATAATAAGGCCAACATTTGACGAGGAGAATTTATTAGAGTGGATATCTGTTTTGAAAACACTGAAACGTGGTCATTTGTGACTGCTTCTACTTAATCCAATCAATGTTTTAAATACAAATACATATTCTATGTTTTCTGAGAAGCGGTTTGGGAGAAAGATATACCCGAAAACAACGAGGCGTTTCTTAAAGAAAGTTTTCTATAGCCATAGCATTGTATACTTTGGGCTCTTTTTCTGAGTACAGAATAGTCGGAAGGTTGTCAGCCAAAAGCCAGTGCAATATCCTGCATGAGTTTTGCAGAGTATTCATAAAAGAATTCCCAGAGGATAATCCCCAAACCGAGTTTTTGTGCCTGAGACAATTCTGACATATCAGATGTTTTTAAACATTTTCCTATCTGTCATTTTTTAAATTTCCGTAGTGAATTCCTATTTTTTGTTATGAATTTCAAATATTTATGGTTGTAGTTGACAATTATCGAAAAAATACCGCACAGAAACGTGCGAATTAGGAACATCCCAGATGGATGGTGGAATAACTGGGAAATTTTCGAAACGGTAGAACCTTATAGCTTTTCACACTGGCGACCATCCGCCATCCATTTCTAGAATGGTCCGTAAGATTCTCCGACTACTTGAGTGGAGCGATCCGGAGAATAGTTCCTGAAAATTCTCTCCAGGTTCTTGTGCATTCACCAGTTGGGCGGGTTGACGAAAGACCCTGTACTCAAAAAGAGTTAATTGGTATATCGTATTTGTGGTAAAATCATCATTTTTGCATTTCAATGCTTTATATTTCCCAGACGGTATGCTGTAATCACAAAGTGTTTTCTAGCTGTTTTAATTATCTTTTCAAAATAGCAAAGTTCTTTACAACAAGACGTAAGATACTAGAGTTATGTGAAAAAAACAAGCGCTACCTCTGAAAAAAGCTTTAAAAAAAATACCAGTTTTCAAAAATTCTTTAAAAAAAAGTTCTGCCATAGAAAAAAAACCATAGTTCTTTAAAAAATTTTAAATCTCCATATTTATCAGAAAAAGTCGGTTTGGATCCTTGAGGAAAAAAAAGTTCGATTTTGTCGAGTAGTGTCATTAGTTCACAATTTATATACTGACTGAGTACGGGTATAAGACGTTCCTTCTCGTTTTTTTTGCTGCAGAGAGTTTATTCCTCGCTAGCGTCATCCGCCTCACTGGTCTTGCGCGTGAAGTTATGATACAGCACCTTTAACTCCGAGTCGATGAGAGACTGCCGCATCAGTCTCAGAGTCCAGCATGTTACCTATCACCCTATTGATCCCTGAAACGGTAAAAATGTGATCGAAGGATAATTCTTTTACCACAATAGCATGGAGGGCAGCTTTCTCTTTGGAAGCAAGCAGAATCTCGATCTTGACAACCGCGTTGATAATTTTCTTTGAAATTTCCGCAGATAAAGCACTTTCTGTTGAGTACTCCATTTATCGGTTCATTGTTAAATTATCATCATTTATCTCAACATATAGACGGCATATCAACTAAGCATCCTTCTCTGCCTCAAAAACATGGGACGGCGAAAATCGATTTTCGGTTGATAGTTACGTGATAGTTACTCGTATATCTGTTAAAAACTCTTAAACTCTCTGTAAAGTTATACCCTCCCCTTTTGCTCCAGGAGATGTGGCCACCTTCATGCTCTAGGGCACGAGTATTAACATCGTAATTGATAGTGCTTTCAGCTTCCGTGCAATCATTCTCCAATGCTGACATTTCAATTAGTCATGCAAAGCCAAATCATCATTATGTTTTATGCGTGTTCAGTTCTGTGTTCGACGTCGCAAAGTGGGACAATCAGCCGTTTCAGCTTTCTAAATGAATAACTTCTGAGCGAAGTAAGATATCTTCACAAAATTAACAGCATTTAAAAGGAATATTTTTTAAATTTATTCTGTACTGTTTAGAAGCTTGTTAATAAATAAGCAAAGTTTAACTTTGATTCCTGTGCATATTTGCCTATTTTCAATGCTAAACTTTTATGTTTGTGGATCGATAAGGAACGTTTAATGGTATTTTTCACTACACACTATAATTTTAAATTTAAGACAATTTAAACTTTTTTCGTAAGAGGTTGCGTCAGGTAAATTGAGTATTGATAACAATGAAAAAACCTAACAAAATATACCAAAACAGAATCATACGCAACATACCTTATTATACCCGTACTCGAAGAGTTAAGGGGCATAAAAGACTTTTGGTAAAAGTGGATGTGTGCAACGCAATGAGGGAAACGTTTCTGACCCCCTAAGTATATATATTCTTGATCAGCATCAATAACCAAGTCGATTTGGCCATGTCTGTCTGTCCGTCGGTCTTGATGAGTGCCTAGTTCTCAGAGACTATGAAAGCTAGAGCAAACAAATTTGTGTTTCCAGACTCATGTGATATCACACTGCTACAAATGTATTTCAAAATTTCGCCCCGCCCCAACAAAATCTGCGGCATCCACAATTTTAAAGAAACGAGAAAACGGAGGAAATATCGTAGAGAATGGAGGTGGGTGAAAAAAATATTTGAGGTCATATTATTTTTACATAAATAATAACCAAAATAAATTTCAAAGTCCTACATATCCTGGTTTTTCCTTAGAGAAATGTTGGACCTGAATGGTATGTTTTCTTAAGTATACGTCAAGTTAAGTATATGTTATTCAGGAAGTAAATTTTGATAGATCCTGTTTAATTTATAGTGCATTCATTAAAATTCTTCAAATTCATTAAAATTCTTAGATTTTGTTTTTACTGCGAAACTTAAAATGCATGCAACTTTTTTGATGATTTGAGCAAGGGTAGACGGCACACATAGAACATTTAGAGCGAGGATATCCTGTCTTGAATAGTCTGCATCTATCTTTTGAGCACCATTGCATCCAATATGCGATCTGGTCATAACTAATAGCTATAGAAGGACATGTGGACTTTCCGAGTCGTATATAGCTGGGGATGTTAGAGCTGGTGACCATTCGAAGTACAGGTATTTTGACTACACGTACATTAAATTCCCATGGTTTCGGCACAGATTTGTTTGCACAAATTTCTCATCGAAGTATATATAAAAGTATGATATTTTTTCCTTTGGTCACTGAACAGTTAATGTATCTTTGTCAGGAATTTGTTGCTTCTGTTTCATTTGAAATATTTATTCTCCATCTCAAAGTCTCCTGATTTATATTCTGGAAAATATCCTGCGTAGTTTTAGTTGCGTTTCGTTACTACTCGTAAATCTGCGATCATTGTCTTCACCCTCACTCCTCTTCAGCAATGCATCTTCAATAGTGTTTCCTTTGGCAACAACATGTTGCATTGTGTTTTCTATAAAATTTTCCAATGTCTCAAGTGAGTCCTTATCCTCTTCAATTTCTCCGTAATTTTCATCTTCGGAATCATCCCACTCAAATTGACAAATACGAATGGGATGATATGAATACCACTCAGGACCAATGTTGTCTATAGGCAAAATTGTGTTTGCAAAAATCCAAAGACGAAACTAAATACGTTTCGGTCACAAATTTGTTTCATACTTATTCATACCTTATTTAATCCACCAAAAACAATTTAGTTTATTATAAAATCTGTACAAATGACTTTAGTTCACAATCACTTTTTCATCAATTTTTTCGGTATCTGTTCTCGCCCCGCAAGTGACACTAATACTTAGAACTCACAACTTCTAACTGCGCAATTCCTACTCAGGGATAAGCAGAACAGAACCGCCAATTATACGAAAAAAAAATATCAAAAAGAATATCTGTATTGGCTGTTTTGTCATTTGAAAATAATGTTTCCTATAGGCAACACTGGTCCTGAAAGGGTTAATTA